CTGCCAGGACGGTTGGCAGATGAGGGCTTACAGCTGGGCCTGTCTGGGCAGTGCCCTCGGCTGAAGGGAACCACCTTGCTCGAGCGTATGCCCCTTTCCGAGGGGCAGCCCTCATTCCATGCCTGGTCAACAAGGGGGACAAAATCCTGGCTCCATGCCTCAATTAGATACAACCCAGAGGGCCACCGCAACTCCAGGTTCCCTTCTTGTAACCACAGCAACGTCTCTCTGTGCCCATCCCGCCCACTCCCTTCCTTACCCAGAAACCATCTGCTTGCGCAGCACATCTCCAGCTCACAGCCTGTTTCCCGGGAGACCCTACCTGTCAAAAACTAGGCGTATGCATGTGTGTTTATTTTTAAACAAAAATAAATACTTAGGTATCTACCAACTAAGTTCTGGAATAGATCATTGCCACTGCCTAGGAAGCCTGCTCTGGGTCCTTCTGCTTGCATCCTGTTCGGAGATCATCAACATCCTGCATGTTGTAATAACGTTACTCCTGGTGGTTTTTGAGTGTCTGCATCCATGTATATATCTATGCATGTCATACACATGAATGGCTTTGTCTGCTTTTGAATGTTCAATAAATGGAAGCACACAACATGTCTTCTTCTGTGACCTGCTTCTTCCATACGGTCTTGATGTGACATTCACCCATTTTGACGGGATAGCTAGTGTTTGTTAATTTTGTCCAACATGTGAATAGACTACAATGTGTGCAACTGTCCCACCTTTGACGGACGCGGGCGCTGTCTCTGGCTTGGGGGATATTACTCTCAGCTGCTATGAAAGTTCTCATACTTGTGTGCGGGGCAGGGTTTCTCAGCACCGTTGACATTTGGCCTGGAGAAGCCTTGGCTGTGATGGGCTGTCCTCAGGATTGTGGAATGTTTAGCAGCATAGCATCCCCTCCCCTTCGTTGTGACAACCAAGAATGTCTCCAGATTCCACCAAATGTCCCCTGGGGAGCAACACCACCCCAGTTGAGAACCAGTGCCCCGGGAAGCCATTTAATTTCTAAGAGCTTCTTCCTGTAGGTAATGGTGCCAACAACTGTATTTGCTATACCATAGTGACACTATGTACTGTTAAAAGGGGCAACAGGCCCAATGGAGCCACTTGCGCTAAGCCTATGTCACCTAACCAAGACTCAGTACCTAACCTAATTGCAGTTTCAGCCTCTCCCATGAATGTAATCTTTAACCAGTCAATCTGGAATTACCTAGCCGGCTCTAGTGAGGTAATCCACCCGATAAACCCTTTCTGCCCCCAAAGGAAGGTGATCTCGCCACAGACAATCCACCCTTGTTCTGCCTCCTTCTGCCTATCAAAATCTTGCATTTTGCACAGTTCCTCAGAGCTCCTCACTACCTATTAGGCGGGATGCTGCTCAATTCATGAATTGTAGAATGAAGTCAACTAGATCTTCAAATTTACTCAGCTGAATTTTGTTTGGGGCTATATTTACCTATAAATTAAGCTGAGTGTTACATGCATGATGTGCTTAGAACAAAGCTTGGCACAGAGGACAACTGTTAGACTGTTGTTGTTGTTGTTGCTGTTATAGACGAACGATAAGAAGCTGCGCTACCTCCTCCCCGGCATCCTGACTTGGCTCCCCCTCCCCGCCAGCCTTTTCCTCCTGTGAAAAACGGTGATGTTCTTTCCTGAGCGTTCCTAGGGGATCCCAGAGCAAACAGCAGGAGGGGCTCAGGCTCTTGACAGACCTCATGAGATTCTGAGGCAGGGTCCTCCGTCAGCCAAACAGGTTGTTTAGATACTGACATACTACCTGGCTGGTGTGGCTCAGTGGATTGAGTACCAGACTGCAAAGCAAAAGGCCACCAGTTCAATTCCCAGTCAGGGGACATACCTGGGTTGCAGGCCAGGTCTCCAGTGCAGGGCATGTGAGAGGCAACCACACATTGATGTTTCTCTTCCTCTCTTCCCCTCTCTCTAAAAATATTTTTTTTTAAATGACATACTCCACGCAGACTGGTGAATGTCCACTGCTGAGCGCTCTCTTCTCCTCAGGACCTCCTCCCCTCCCCATATGCAAAAGGGCGCCCAGGGCATTTGAGACCCAGCCTGTGTCAGTCACGACTGGGCCCTGCCATACTATGCCATTATTACAGGCTGTGATGTTACCCTGGCTGGGTGGCCCAGTTGCTTGGAACATCATCCAGTACACCAAGGTTGTAGGTTCAATTCCCAGTCAGGGCACATGCCTAGGTTGCAGGTTCAGTCCCTGGTTGGGGCAAGTATGGGAGGCAACTTATCAATGTTTCTCTTTCACTTTGATGTTTATCTCTTTCCTTCCCCATCAATAAAAATACTCTCAGTCCTAGCTGATGTGGCTGAGTGGGTTAAGCACCGGCCTGCAAACCAAAAGGTCACAAGTTCGATTCCCCCTAAGGTCACATGCCTGGGTTGCGGGCCAGGTCCCTGGTTTGCGTGTGCAAGAGGCAACCACACATCAATGTTTCTCTCCCTTTCTTTCTCCCTCCCTTCCCCTCTCTAGAAATTAATAAATAAAATGTTTGTTTGTTTGCTTATTTGTCTCATATCCTCAGATGGGGATTAAGAAAAAAGACTGAGGCGTGACCACTAATCCTACTGGGGCAGATCTCTTACTTTTCAACTGTTCCCCCTCCTGGCTAACAGAGCCCCAGTGTATTTTCAGTGCAGCAAGAACCCGGCCTCTGGAGATGAACCGAGGTCAGCCAGCCACGGCTGACCTGCTCCCTGTGCTGGATGCCTGCCCTCTCAGCCTCCTTTGCAGAGAAGGTGGCCCTGTGACCCCGTTCTGAGCAGGAAAGGTCTGCTGGGTGGCCTCCCTCCCGCTTCTTCCTGCACCCATGTGTGGTTACAGAACCCGCAGCCGAGGCCCCCGCCTTGGAGGATGGAAGGAGAAACAGACCGGCTCCTTGATGACAGCAACACTGAGCTGCGTGTGGGAGCCGCTCTGCGTCCATGGGGGCCCAGGGCGAACACTCGCCCGCTGCGAGTCACAGAGTAGGCCCTCAGTGTGGTGGGATCTGTTCTCCCCTCCACGTGTCACTCCCTCCACGTCACAGATCCAGGCAGTCCTCTGCAGACGGAGGGGAAACAGGTGCCTGCCCCAGCCACCCCGCAGCCTACTCACCCTGCCCCAGCCTCACGCACCCGCGCTGCTGGGCGGAGCTGGTTCCTACCGCTTCCCCACACTGGCCCAGGGCCCGTCCTTGAACTCTTCCCTAAGGACATCAACATCCCCTGAGGACCTTCAGGAGCCTCAGCACCCCCTCCCACCTCCACGGTCCCGCCAGCCATCACCACGGCCCCCCTCAGGCACCGGCGTTCCTGACGCCCCACGGTCAGCCCGGGCTCCCCGATTTCTCCTGGTCAGTAATAAGCCCAAGTTAAGTTTTGAGGGGGATAGAATATAGGACAGTGGTTTCCAATTTTCAGGCTATGACTCATTGATAAGTCACAAAATTAGCACTTTTTAAAAAATAAAATACAATAAAAAACTGATTTACCAGAGTACACTGCACATAGTCTGGGTAAATGTGACTGCAAGATATTCTGTCTGCTGGTGTGAGTAGTGATTGTCTTGGAAAAGGTAGTCGTGTGACGGCTACAACGTTCAGAAAGTCACTGTGCCCTGAAGCTCCCAGCGCGTGCCCAGGAAGAAGCGATGGTACCGACCCTGAGCCTCTTCCCCAGGCACCTTCGGGACAAGGCCTCTCTGTCTAACCAGTCGCTCAGATCCGAGACCTTGGCCTTATCCGACCCCTCTCTCTCCCTCTATCTCACACCACATCCAATCCCGCAGCCGCAAATCCGGTTTATTTCTTTTGAATTACATGCAGACTCTGCCACACTTCTGCCGCCACGTGGCTCTTGTCCCAGGGAGGGCCCCCTCTCATTTCAGCCATGACACTTAGCACCACAACAGCAGGATCAAGGAAGAGCACCTGGCACATAGTAGGTGCTATACAAGGTAAGGCTGACTCTCTCCGGGCAAAATCACCCCTTGAAACCCATGTCCGTACCTGCGGAAGGGGCAGGGCTGAGGTCTGAGGTGGTTTGGCCAGCCTCCCCGCACTGTCCTCAACCAGGACCCCCATCCCACACCGCCTATTACCTGCTCTCCCTGCCACGTGGGCCCTTCGTATCCCCTCCTCCAGGACACAGGGCCTGCTGTGTGGCTCAGCGGGTTCAGCACCGGCCTGCAAACCAAAAGGTCGCCAGTTTGATTCCCAGTCAAGGCACATGCCTAGGTTGCAGGCCAGGTCCCTGGTTAGAGGCGTGTTGAGAGGCAACCAGTCAATGTTTCTCTCTCTCTTTCTCCCTCCCTTCCCATCTCTCTAAAAATAAATGAATAAAATTAAAAAAAAAAAAAAAAAAAGAAGTTGAACCCAGCTGTGTGACAGGCTGCCGTCCAAGCTGGTCATACCTCCCCAATTTCCACTGACACAATCCATCCCAGGGACAATCTCCAGGTCCCTGATGCCCGAGGGCCCCTCTGAGACCCCCCTATTTATTTCTGGGTCACAACCCTGACTTCAGCCTGGCCAGGAGCAGAGACAGAGAAACTGATGATAAGCAGGTCCACCAGCACACTAACCATCATTTAACCGTCTCCGGGGCTTGTGAACAGGCCAGACAGTGAGACTCGGGGAAGAATTCGGAATAGAGCCGGGCAGCCAACAGAGTGGCAGACGCCAGGCCAGCTGGGAGCCAGCCGGGCAGCGCCACAGACTCCCTCTGATTTCAATGGCTGTGAAATGGTACACATGCGAGGCGATGCTCCACCAGGCCTGGGATGCAGGCCAGACGACCGAAATTTTGTAGCTAAGAAGCCCCTTTGTCATGGTAACCATTTGTCAGCAGCTTTGTCTGTTTTCGACACTAGAAATTCAGAGCACCCCTTCCGACCCCAAACCTCTGGCCAAGAATTAACTTCACCTTGTTAGTAACATTTTCCTTGAGAGTATCTTTTAATGCCCGGTTGTAAGGAAGACATACAATTAAACAGAAAGCCGATCAAACCCACAGGATTAAATACTTTTGTGTTATGTTTAAGACACCCAGGATATTGGTATTTAAAGGGTTTGCTATGTTTAAGAGAATTTGGGCCCTGGCTGGCGTAGCTCAGTGGATTTAGCACGGGCCTGTAAAGCAAAGGGTCACCAGTTCGATTCCTAGTCAGGGCACATGCCTGGGTTGCAGGCCAGTTCCCCAGTGGGGGACACATGAGAGGCAATCACACATTGATGTTTCTCTCCCACTCTTTCTCCTTCCCTTCCCCTCTCTCTAAAAATAAATAAATATTTTGGGAAAAAAAAAAAGAGAGAGAATTTGGCATAGGGAGAAATGTGACAAATTTGTCCTGTAAACATAGCCTTCCAATGTAAATTGTAATGGACTCATTTGTTATTTCAGACTTGTAATTTTTCATGGAAATGTGAAAGAGAACTTTTCTAAATGACTAAATGGTCCTGGAATGTTTAAAAGATCTTGATACTCTTGTAATTTATTCTAAGAGTTAAGTACTTGGGAAGGTTTAGCTTCCGTTGAGTTTCAGAAGAAAATTGAACAGTTTAAATTTGTGAAGGCAGAACAGTTAAGGGGATTTAATTAACTGAGATTCAACATGGCATGTGAAGCTGTTGAAACTGAAGTTGGTTGAACATTAATCAAAGACCTCCCTGAAAGTGACAGTTTGAATTTACTAGATTTATAAATAGACTAACTTTTGAAAGAACTTTGAAGCCTAAGAAAGACAGTGTTTTTAATTGGTAGTTTCAATACACTGAAGGTTAATTTAGATATGAAGTCTTTTCTATGCACAAATGTCTCCCCCAAAGACACCAGAATGCTCACTCAGACACTGGCTCTCGTGGCGGCTGGAAGCCACTCCCCTCATCAGGGTAAATGACTGACTTCCCCTTAGAAAAGTGGTTCCAGTCACAGTCAATTGCCCCCAAATCCATCTCCCTTCAGTCCACGGTTGTGGGAGGCCACCTCTGAGATGGCCCCATTGACCCGGCCTCCTGGTGTTTATGGCCCCCGCAAACCACTCTTCTGGAGCACAGGCTGCAGCTAGTGAGTCTCCTGTAACAAACAGAAAGTGGCAAAAGCAATGAGATGTCATTTCTGGGACTGGACTGTAGAAGGACTGACCCTGACTTCTGTCTTGCTCTCTTGCTCAGAGGAAAGCCACATGGGGAGCTGCCTGGTGGTGAGGCCCACTGGCTGGGGACTGGTGTCCCACCGACAGCCAGAGGCCCACTGGCTGGGGACCGGTATCCCACCGACAGCCAGCCACAGAGGACCCGAGGCCACCCCCAAGCACGCCCATGAGTCCATGAGCGCGGAAAGGGGTCCTCCCTCGCGTGACCGAGGTGACTGCCACTCTGACCAGCACGCTGCTCAGAGTTTGGGGAGAAACCCTCAGCCAGACATACCAGATTCCTGACCACAGAAAACATCAGATAATAAGTGTTCGTTGTTTTAAGGAGGTTTTTTTTTTGGGGGGGCGGATATTTGGTACATGGCAGTAGCTAACTAACACAATAGCAATATAATCTTATTGGCCATAAGATGCCACCCCTGAAAGGAAACCTTCCTTTCCCACACTCCCTTGCAGCCAGGCATGGTGACATGTGGAGATGACAGTGCTGACAAGCCATCTGACCACACAGACAAGGCCAACACCTAGAAGGAATTAAGGAGTTTCACTTCTTGGGCAGAACCATTTTATCAGCCTGAGGAGCAGTAGGGAGAGCAAAATAAACTTTGAACAGTTAAATCTCAGCTGGTCCCAAGACCCACATATTCATTTAACCATCTTCTAATCGACACCCTCTTTTTCAAATTAGTCTCCTTCTGACCAATGATAACCAAGATCTTATGGCTTGATGTGCTTGGTACCTGTTTTTGTTTATTTTTCCAAAAAAATATATATGACAATGGCTAGTAAACACTTGTTGCCTCCTGTGTGTCATAGAGCAGCCCACACCGGCACACATGCCATCGGTCATGGAAACACTGTTCTCCTCTTTATTTGCTCAGGGAAGTATCTTTGTGAAAGCTAGATTCTTCCTTGCCTTTTCAAATTGTGTTCTCGTTTGCCAACAGCCGTCTGGCAACCCCTGGGCTCCTGGTGCCTCGGCCAGCCAGCTTGACAAAAGCTACTGGCTGCCTTTCCTTCTAAGCCTGAATCTTCAAAGCAGATCCATGTTACAGACACTTGATATTTGGCAAATACTCCGCTAGAGAAAACTATGCCCAGTGGTCCCCTGGAAGGATCGCTTGTGTAGGCAGGACTGAGCCCATGGTTCTCGGGGAGTCCCCGCAGTATGCCGGCACCAACAGGTAATCCACAGCCCTGAGTTCTCTGACTCCCAGGGCCTCTCCTGCTGGGGTGGGCCAACCTCACAATATGATGGCAGGAGGAATTCATGGCGGGCCAGCACAACGAAACGATTAATAAGACTTGACATACACAAGGCTTTAGCAAACTCTGGGAGGGGGGCATCTGAGGGTAACCAGGGTTTTATGCTCATAGATGGGTAAGCCCAGGATGGCGGCTGCGGACTCTTGGTCAGACCTGGGCTCCTCCCTGTCCTGTGTGGTCTTCCCCTGTACCTTGGGGATAGCGGTGGTACCAACCTCAGAGGGTTGCTGGGAGGATCAGATGAGATAATGTACTTCGAGTCCTTAGCCCAGTCTCTGGCACATAAGATCCTAGGGCAAATAATTACAGAACTGTAGTGTGTGATAACAAGCAGGATGATGACCACTGTCATTAAAAAGGACTACAGTCTGTGGTAGGCTAAACAATGGCCCCCTTAAATTATCTAGGTGCCTTGACTTTGAAAACATTACCTTATAGGGCAAAAAGGACTTTACAGGGCCCTAAGAGGAGAAGATTATCCTGGATCACCCAGTGGGTGTATTAACGGTCCCTTAACTACCATCACTGGGCAGCTCTGAGTGGGGGTTTCTTCTCTCTCCTAAGGTCTCACAGCGAAGTGGTCTGCAAGGCCAAGTGCATTGAAGGGTATCCATGAGGAGCAGCCGCCACAAATGCCCCAAAGGCCAGGCAGACATTGTGACATGGGATGGGCCTGGGCATGGCTCAGTGTAGGGTGGGGACCATGACAGTGGGAGACAGTGTCCTCTCTTACAGTCATTTCCTGCCACCAGAGTGCGGGCCAGGACTCCTAAGCCTTTCCGTTTCCAAGAGAGGCTGAAAAATTAGGTTTTTTCGTGACATCACCCCTGTGGTTTTCATGTGTTTGCAACCAATACACCATTTTTAAAACACAGCAGATGACCAGCAGCATCAAAGAAGTGGGCAAAGGTTGATTAACAGGCAAATCATGGAAAAGAAATCGTACTGGTTCTTAAACACAAAAAAAGATGATCTTCCTCCTCATCACAAGAGAAACACAAAGTAAGACTACGGCAAGGAACCATTTTCCACTACTCAAGCAAAGATTTAAAACATCTGGGGACTGCCAGTCAAGATGGCAACATAGGCAGATGAGGCTGGCTCTTCACACAACCACATCAAAATGACAAATAAGCCCTGGCTGGTGTAGCTCAGTGAATTGAGTACCAGCCTGCAAACCAAAACGTCTCTGGTTTAATCCCTGGTCAGGGCACATGCCTGGGTTGCAGGTTGATTGATGTATCTCTCACACATCGATATTTCTCTTTCTCCCTCCTTTCCCCTCTCTCTATAAATAAATAAATAAAATCTTTGAAAAAACGAAACTTAAAAAAAATTACAAATAAAATATAGAACAACCATCCCTCAGAACCATCAGAAATCGAGTTGAATGGAAGTCTGACAACTACACAATTAAAGAAACTACATCCAGACTGATAGGAGGGGCACAGACACGGAACAGGCTGTTCCCACACGCTGTGTTGTAGATAAAAATTCAGGCAAGATATCTGAGGAGCGAGGAGCCCCAGCCTCACACCAGGCCCCCCAGCCCGGGTTTCCAGTGCCAGGAAGATAAGTCCCCATAACTTTTGGCTGCAAAAAGCAGCAGAGAGTAAGTCAGTGGAAGAAACTGCTAGAGCCCCCAAAAGTTCCTCTTAAAGAACCCACACACGGACTCATTTATTCAGAGTCGATCCCCCTGAGCTCCAGCACCAGGGTAACAGCACCGAAAGTCACCAGTGCTGTACGGGCGAGGAACTGAAGTGCCTGGCATCAAGGCAAGCGGAGGCCATTGTCCTTTCCTAACCCTCCCCCAAAAGAGCTGGCAAGCTGGTGCCATATCTGAGACTCCATCAACCCGGCTGACGTTGCTTGACCCACCTGGAGGATCCCCAGAGACTCCACCCCACCCAATTTACAGGCCCACTCAAGCTTCTTTTCTTTTTTTTTTTTATTATGTTTAAGATTCTATTTCTTTATTTTCAGAGAGAGGGAAAGGGAAGGAAAAAGACAAAAGCATCGATGACTGAGAGAAACATGGATTGGTTGCCTCTCACATGCTCACAGCCGGAGGCCTGGCCTGCAACTCAGGCATGTGTCCTGATGGGGAATCGAATCAGCAACCTTTTGGTTCGCTCGCCAGTGCTCAATTCACTGAGCCACACCAGCCAGGGCACCAAGCTGCTTTTCCATACAAATGGATGGCCATGACTCACACTTCAAACTTCTTGAATCCTACCAAACAAGCAACGGCTGTCTCAGTGAGCCCCAAGCCTGGCACTAGCAGCAGCCAGCTTAGATTCACAGCTTGGCTTTACCTGGGAATCTCCAAGCCCGGCATGAGTAGCAGCTATCTCAGATTGCTTTATAGCTCAGGCATGGTAGCCCTAGGTAAAACACAGGTGGGGGCTGACCTTGGCTGCACCAGTCAGGAAACTCCAGTACCCAGTGGACTGCTAGAGATCACATTGGAACACTGTCATCCTGCCCCTGTACAGCTGATCTCTACAGAGGGTGGAGGTTGGTTGTAAGTGGTCACAGCTGACTGGCCTGGGTAAATTCCTCCCATTGATATTCCAACAGCAATCAAGGCTCAACTACAAGAGGAGGGTTTACTCAGTCCACACAAAGGGTGCACCTCAAGTACCCAGTTTGAGTGACAGGAGAGGCTGTGCCACTGGACCCTGCAGGACACCTTCTACATTAGGCCATGCTACCAACACACAGTCAAAGCAGCTCTACCTAATACATAGAAACAAACACAGGGAGGCTGCCAAAATGAGGGGACAAAGAAACACGGCCCAAATGAAAAAACAGATCAAACAAAATGGAGACAAGCAATCTATCAGATGCAGAGTCCAAAGCACAGGTTATAAGGATGCTCAAAGGAACTTAGTGAGGACCTCAGTTGCACAAAAAAGATCCAGTCAGAAATGAAGGATACATTAACTGAAATGAAAAGCAATTTACAGGGAATCAAAAGTAAAGTGAATGAAGCCCAGAATCAAAACAGTGATATGGAACATAAGGAAGCAAAAAACAACCTATCAGAACAACAAGAAGAAAAGAGAATCCAAAAAGTGAGGATAGTGTAAGCAGCCTCTGGGACAACTTCAAACATTCCAACATTCACATCATAGTCATGCCAGAATGAGAAGAGAAAGAACAAGAAAATGGGAATTTATTTGAAAAAATAGTGAAAGAACACTTCCCCAGAGGGGTGTAGGGGAAAGGCAGAAAACAAACGAAAGAAAGAAAGAAAGAAAAAAGAAAGGAAGGAAGGAAGGAAGGAAGGAAGGAAGGAAGGAAGGAAGGAAGGAAGGAAGAAAGGAAGGAAGGAAGAAAGAAAAGAAAGCTTCCCTACTTTGGTGAAGGAAATAGACGTACAAGTCCAGGAAGCACAGAGAGTCCCAAACAAGATGGTTGCAATGAGACCAACTCCAAGACACGTCATAATTAAAATGCCAAAGGTTAAAGATAAAAGAGACTCTGAAAAGCAAAAAAAGTTAGTTACCTACAGGGGAATTCCCATAAGACCGTCAGCTAATTTCTCAAAAGAAACTTTGCAGGTTAGAAGGGACTGGCAAGAAATATTCAAAGTCATGAAAAGCAGGGACCTGTAGTCAAGATTGCTCTAAAAAGCAAAGCTATCATT